CTTTGGAGTGATATGGTAGATTCAAATTTTGTCCATTATTACATACCTACACAAAAAGTTATTTTTATCTGGTTTTAACATCCAAATAGCAATTGTCAACAAATGCTTTACCCACTTCGAAAAGAGCTTTCTCATAGACAAATTTGATGTAAAATATTCTTTTTAAATCTTCAAGGGGCCAGCTAACTATCTTCTACAACTTAATTTAATGAGTTGTGAAGTTAAAATGAGTTTTGGGACTTTCTCAATGTTTTCCAGAGTCACCACCGCTCTTAGGCAACCAACACGTTGTTCTTCTTGTTGTTGTAACCCGCAGGGATCTGAAAACAGATAACATCTAACGATTACAAGACAAATACATGGGTTGAGTTGTGAATTGGTGGTGTATGGGATAAGGGTGAGGGAAAAGGGAAGAGGGAAAGATAAAGGATGTGTAGGATTTAAATTGAAATTAACCCAGGTACAGACAAAGAAACCTAGCCACTTGAAGAGGGTGTGTCCAATGGTCAATTGGACTAAGGTTTGTGTACCTAGAAGCACAAGAGAACAGATGGATGGTTGAGCTACAGTTTAAAAACCAACGCGTTCGGCATATTTGGAATTTGTATGGGTACGTTTCTATTATTTTCTCACATTCTATTAGTTCTCTCGATAAGACAGAATCCGGATATCATTTATCAAACCCAACTTTTGCTCGCACGAATTGTTTTCCGTCCAAAAGCAATGACAAATCAAGATATGAAATTGCTCTGAAAATATAAAAAGTAACGTGAATAAAACTAATGTATCCACATGAGTAAACGTTTAAATATGTTGTAATTTGGCAGATATCATTTGAAAGCTTCTTCTATTTGCTGCCAATGTATCGTCTAACGGACTTATTAGTCAATGTGTTATAAAAATTTGTAGACTTAAAAAATGAACCTTAGGTGATTGCACAAATCCAATCATAAAACTGCAGTAGAACTACTTTGATTTAGATAATAATTATTTCCTAGTAAAACATAATTTTTATTATTTAAAATTATACCAGTGAAATGATAAATTTCAAAATCATATAATAATTTGAAATACACAATTTTATATGACGGGACAATAGATCCATAAGCAAAAGCATATAAAGATTGCATAGTAAATGTACATTAAAATGACCAAATACGGAAGCCGTAAAAGACATAGTCACCGACTATATCACAGACAATTACACTAACGATTCGTATGAACGTGTTTACGAGTATAAACAATGGTAAAAAAGTAACAACTAAATGCAACATGTTGCAAAAGTAGCTTTCGGCCAAATTTGTTATTGTATTTTTAGTTTTTATTTAAATTTAATGCAACTGAAATTAAACAATTGCATCGCAATTTCCAATATAACCACAACGTAGACACTTGTTTTTCCGGCTGTTGCAGGCTCTGCATTTGAGCTATGCATTTGAGCTGCTGAACGATATAAACTGCGTTGCTAAATTATGCGGCAGAGTGAAAGTATCTCGAAATGCTGCAGAAGTCTTTAATACTGCCAGCAATGCATAGCAATGCATTTCTGAGATGCTTGCGTGTGGCTTTTTTTTTACACATAACACGTTTTTATTATTATATGAAATTAATTGGCGGAATTGAGAGGAATAATTTGTGCACTTTTTTGCCAAATTCATTGACAAAACAACTAAATTTATTTAAGAAGTTCAAACTTTAAATTGACAGAAATACTTATTTGATAATTTAATTCTGTCATCGCTGCTGTGGTCAAGTAGATTTTTGGCAAGACAACGAAATCTAATAATTATCATTATCTCTCACTACATTTTAAAATTATTTTACTCTATGTTGACATATTTAAAAATCTGTGATTGATGTAGTTTTGGTATTAACACTGCCTATAAGCAATGAAAGGCTTATAATCTTGCAAAGAATGAGTTTAGAAGCATTACAATAATGATTCTAACAAATTATATATCAGTACAAGACAGTGGACTAGCCAAGTTGCGGAGCAGGCAATGGGGGTGGTAATTTATAAATTTCTTTCATAAAACTGATTAGCATAAAAAGATTTCTAATAGTAAAATATTGAAATAGTAAAGAAAATTCCGTTTAATATTTATTTTTATGCTTTTTATTACAAAAAAATAAAAATAAATAAGTAAATTAAAAGATCATTACCTAAAATAATTCTTCTGATTTCAATAACTGCACTTACATATGTTCATACCTTGCTTAATCACTTTTCGGTAGCGCGGTCATTACCATATAGGCATTCTTAAACATCCTGCGTTCACACTCTTAGGACGAAATATTTTCGTATAAGTGTAAAAAAGTGTAAGTGTAAAAAATGCATAAGCCCCCCTTAGCCACGTTCATGTGTTTTCAAACGGTAGCATTAGTCTTCATTGGTGGAGCAGCCTTGAGTACTCTCATGTTCCTATTATGAATTGTTAATGTGATTAAAAATTCTATAATAAAAGTTTTGTTTTCATTATACTAAAATCATATCAAATTAGCCTAACTAATCTAAAAAAAATATTTAAAATATTTATTTTTCAATTGTCTTCATTAGCTTATAACAAATATATTATAAATCCCTTTTTCATGAGTTTGTTTCTTCTCTCGAATTTTACTCCTAAAGTATTGCGTGAAATACTAAATCTTGCAAGTGCATTTAAGCCGAATATTGACACTTATTTACTGATAGAAAGATTGATTTATGTTTCGTAAGGAATAGCTTCAAACCACCTTATATGTTTCAAATTAAATCAAAAGTTGTATTTTCCTGTAATGCATATCTGAAGAAGATCAGTAGGCAGGCATAACAACGTATTTGTCATTCTGTTGTTTAGCAGATAAATTGATACACAGATGAGCAATTATGAACTATATCAATTATTCTCTAGGGATCTACACATTAATCAGTATCTGTTAGTCTTTAATATACCCTTCTCAAAAAAGCAGAAATTATGTGACAGTTTGATTGCGCTTCAATTAAATAAATCTGGCCGCGTTTTTATACATATAGAGCTAGGAAACTAATAAGATTAAGTGAGATCGAATTTTTAAAAATTCTTCTTCTTGAAAAGGTTTTTCTGAAAAGCCCATACAATTGTCAAAGCAATTAAAATGGTTCAAATGGAACCCTTGAAATAGGAGTACAAATGTTATAGAAACCCTTACCTTTTCAAAACTACATATCTTACCAATATTTCTAGTAACTAAGGTATATTTTTCTAATAAAAATTAAGGATGGTTTTTAATACAGATGCTATTGTTTCATAGTTGAAATAAGATATTTTCAAAATTTATCTTATCACGCTACGCTATATGTGAATATATCGATATTCAAATTTTCCAAAGTCGATTATGATTATGTTTGCAAATAACTAACAAATGAAAACTTTCAGTTTCATTTGCTATAATTTTAAAATTGCTGCCTGTGCGGTACCAAAAATGGAAAAAGTTCAAAATGTTCGAGTTTTGCACTTTCAGATTCATTTCCGATTGCGTCTTTTTCTCACAAAAACTCTTATTACAATTTTGTGGCTGTGAAATAATAGACGTGGGCGTTAACAGTCGGTGTTTAGATAGCACGTACCGTTCCAGCATTGAAAGGCTTTTGAACTATTAGAGTAAAAATTTACGGAAACAAACACTTCGTAAGCAAATTCGAATTAAATAGTAAATATCTTTTTTTTTTTAAATTTGTATTATTTAAAAAACTCAATGAACTTGGCACTGAAAAAATGAACGAATGTGTAATTTAGAAAAAAAAATTTAAGCACGCGATGAGAAAAGCAATAATTAATTAATATCTGCAATTAAAAATGAACGAATATCTTGTAATTGTGGCATCAACTCGTATGAAAAGATATTTTGTTTTAATGAATTTTGCTAGTCCATCAGTGCAATGTTCAAATAATATATTTAGTATAAATGCAGAATAATTAAATATTCAAAGACCATGTCATACTATCGTGTTCATGTACTATCATATATAAAAATTTATTAATTAAACGTTTAATTGATAACATCGAAATACACAGTGCAGATAAAACACAGCAAGAGTTCATCAATGAGAAAATTAATTTCAACAAATTAGTAATAAAATATTAAACAAATAAATTTTTTGAAAAAAAAATAAATGTAATCTTATAAAGAAGCAAATATTGCATGGCCTATGTCTGTGCCCATAGACCATTTCAAATTCATGACATGCGTCAGCAAATGTACAGTATTCCATAGCTGAAAGCATGCAATTATCAGAAATGTTTGTTATCTAAAATGCAGCTAAACTATTTGCTCTACAATAATTTCAAATATAACAAATTCAATACAAACAAAGCAAAAATTACAGTATTTACTTAGTTCACTTAAGCATAACATACAATAATAATTAGTCAAGTTAGCACACCATTGCAAATAAAAACTTTAATGAGATGCTTAAAATACTTATAAGAAAATAATAAACCAATTATGTATTTTCTATTAAACCGTAATATTTATGAAAGACTGTATAACAATTTAAACATAAACTATAAGTCAATAACATTTTAAAATATAATGTAAACTTTTCCAAAAGTGAACTAATCATATAGAGTGTCTGTTGAAAATTTCTTCTCCCTCTGTCTTGCAAAGTCATTGTAAGGTGCACGAAATGGACAATAATAAAATACACACACAAAGTTTTTTGTAATTGCTTGCTAAATCCTTAATCCATAGGAGTATTCACTATCTCTTGCAAACTCATTGCAAGGTGCATGAAATGCACAGATTGTACGAGCATGCAATTAGTAACAACAAAATACACGCGCAAAGTTTCGTGCAATTGCTTGCAATCTTGCTATACCTAAATCCATGTATATATGCTTGCAACGAAACAAAAAAGGAAAAAAGCAGCTGTTTTGCCATCTCATGTGAGATGTTGCAATTTGCAACAGTTGTTTTGTTGCAATTTTAAACCATCTTTTTATCCAGTCAATAATACAAAAACTTTTTTCGGAATTTTTTAGGCAAGAGAGGAACAAGCACGTTTGGAGATGAAACATCGTAAAGAAGAAGACGATTTATATAGAAAATTTGCACGTAAACGCGAAGAGGAGGATCGGAAAATTCAAACTGAATTCCAAGATGAATGGGAACGTGAACTACAACGTCTAACTCATAAATTTGAAAAAGAATTGGCTACTTCAAGACGTAATCGCGATGAACAAAATATACTGACACTTCGTCATGAACAACAAAAGGAGGATTTGGAAAAAAATATGACATTACGGCGTAGTAAAAAGAAGGAGAGTATTACACGTAAAATGCTCGAACATGAACGTTATGAGACTGCAGCTCTAGTCGATCGCCAGTCAAGTGAAATGTTGGAATTAATAAGTGCACGTCGATCGGAGTACATGCAAAATGAAAGCATATTTCTTGATGATGAATTCACTGAAGGCACAATACCTCTAGAATATCCAATGTTAGCACCAGAACCAGGACCACCAGCAGTTAGCAAATTCCAAATATATACGGATCCTATAGAGTTCGAAGATGTCGATCGCATAGCCATATCCGTAAGTGATTTATTGAATAGTTACTGTTATTACATTAAATTATTAATTATTATTAATTTGTAGGTTGCGCAAGAAGATCAGAAAACTTTTACTGACTTAGTGCGTATGTTGGTGGGTCGTTGTACAACAGATATTGAAAAAGCACGCACCATTTTCCGATGGATAACGGTCAAAAATTTAAATGCTATGCACTTTGACGATGATTTACGTGGTGACACGCCTATGGGTCTTTTAAGAGGAATTAAATATGGCACAGAGAGTTATCATGTGCTATTTAAACGTTTGTGCAGTTATGCTGGTCTGCATTGTGTGGTTATCAAAGGTTATTCTAAGAGTGCTGGCTATCAACCTGGCGTCAAGTTTCAGGATTCACGTTTTCGTAATTCTTGGAATGCAGTTTATGTGGCAGGTGCTTGGCGTTTTGTGCAATGTAACTGGGGTGCACGTCATTTAGTTAATGCCAAAGAAGCACCAAAAACAGGACGTGGCAAGAATGACAGTCTAAGGTTAATTAATTTTTTGCAACATTTAAAAAGAAATAATATTATTACATATTAATTATGTAGATATGAATATGATGATCATTACTTTTTAACGGATCCACGAGAGTTTATTTATGAATTCTTTCCGTTACAAGAAGAATGGCAACTACTTAAACGACCTATTACATTGCGAGAATTCGAAAATTTGCCATTTGTACGGTCTCTATTCTTTCGATATGGTTTGCATTTTGCTGACGAAGGTTATGGTGCAGTTGTTTTCACAGATGATACGGGTAGGTCTAAATTATAAATTTACATATGTTAGAATAACTAAATTCATATTATGTTAGGGGCAGCTACTGTGCGTATAGCCATGCCTACCGATATGCAAAGCTGTCTAATTTTCCATTACAACCTAAAGTTCTATGATAGCGATGAAGACTCCTATGATAGTGTTTCATTAAAACGATTTGTTATGCAGTCAGTCGTGGGCAATATAGTTGCATTTCGAGTACATGCACCTTGCTCCGGCGCATTTTTATTGGATATTTTTGCAAATGCTGTAACACCGCAAGAATACTTAACTGGGGAGCCAATGAAGTTTAAGTCTGTTTGTAAATTTAAAGTAAGTGTTGAAATGATAAAACATCAACAAAATGAACATACATTTCAATTTTATTACAGATTTGTTGTGAAGAGCTGCAGACAGTTATGGTTCCATTACCTGATTGCGCTAGTGGTGAGTGGGGTCCAACAAAAGCTACAAGACTATTTGGTTTAATACCAATAACCCATCAGGTAAAACTAAACTCATAATTAGTTAAATATAATCTTAATTCTACTCATTCCATTTTCGCCAGGATCCACTCATATTTGCTGGACGAAGTCTAGATTTACAATTTCGCATGTCACGTCCGTTGACTGATTTTATGGCTACGTTGCACAAAAACGGCATTGAGGAGAAGAAATTATCCAAATATGTAACACATAGCACACTCGATGACATTGTGACTTTTATAATTAAGTACGTATATTACTCATATACCATATGTCCACTTGTAGTTACTAACAATTTTAAGAGGTAAACTCTGTAGTATACGAAATGCTTTTCGTGTACTGTAGGCATTTTACATGTACGTTATTAATATTAAAAATTTCACTTTATAATTTGATCAGAAATACTCATTTAAATAACAATATAGAATATATAAACGTATATTTTTTTGCCATTCTCACAATATTTGTATTTGTGTGTTGCAGTTTTCCGGAGGAAGGCCAATACGGTTTAGATATTTATACACGTGAATTAGGTGCGCCAACACACCATAACAGCAATTCAACAAGTGAAAAACATCTACTGACCCATTGTTGTAAATATTTGATAAATTCTTCGAAACGAAACTAATTTCGAATAAATTAAAAATTGTTATTACTTTTATATTCCCAAAATAAATGTTATGAAGTAATTTTAGCCTAATTAAGCATATTAAACAAATGTATGAATTAAAAACATATGTAATAAGCAAAACTTTTATAAACAATTTAATATTATCTAAAGTTTAAAATTTAAATAATATAACAATATACACATAATCGAAGGAAATAAGGATCCCATGTAGGTGGATAATTATTATTTTTATTATCGAAAAAAACACGGTGCTAACACACACAAATTTTATTAGAAAGAACCACAAAGCAATATTTACAGCTTATTAGTTTAAAAATTAAAACGCATATTTTTTTATTTATTAAAAAAATTTGCATTTTAAAATTAAATAATATTTGTAATATATTTAAAAATGTGTGACTTATATTTATGTTATTACAAGTTATTTTTAATTAATTTGTTATGCCTTCTAAACTAGTAATATATATTTATATTTTAATTGTAGCCACATTCCCAAAATAAAACATATTTATATTCGTACTTATGTAGATAATATTTTATATATAATTTTGTACATTTTTTTTAACATATTTTATACTATGCAGTGTTGATTAAATAAATAATTTACTAATGCACACAAAGTCAGCATTTAATTAATTCATTAATTTGTTCTTAATTTCGTTGATGATGGAAAGTTTGGGCAGATAAAAATTCTTATCACACCACAAAACTTATTTGGTCCAAACGAGATAAATTTTCTACAAGTCAGCTGCTGCAACTAAATCGGCACCAACTTACCACTATGGTATCGGAATTTACTCGTATCATACTTGCTTACTAGCATGCATTATGACTTCATGAATTTTGTCAGTATTGCGGCTCCGTAAATAAGGAGGAATTTGGATTTTAACTCATGTGTCAGTACCCATCATTGGCACAAAAATTCAAGATTCCAATGTTTAGAAGCAGTTTTTCTAACTGGCCTAACAGAGCTGTAATACTACAAAATTAAAGACACAACCAAGTCCATTGACTTTACAGATTGGTTCCTGTCTACTTGAATTGGAAAATCGTCTCTTCTCAAAGGAACGCTGTTTGTGCAACAGGTGTTTGGGTTTTCTATATAAGGTATGGTACCGCAACGGCCTATTAATTATGCTTTCATGACTTGTAATACACAAATCTACCATTCCAACCTAACCTACATTAGTTGTTGATGAAAACTGATAAAGCAATTAACTGCAAACTTAAGCAATAACAGTCTATAAATTAGTTAAATTTGTAGACTTTATGAATACCTTTAAAATCATTCTCAATACCAATCTAAAATTCTAGGACTATCCCTCTTCGGTATCTTTTTCACCTTTCTGGAACAGGTTAAAAATGCATGACATTGTATCAATATCAATCAAAATATTATTTTGTAATCATATGTGGGACTGATTTGGATATCTTGGGTACGCCTGTATGACAATGGAGTTTAGTAAAGACAACTATTTTTTTCACTACGTTACATGGCAATACCTATAGTTTGTTTTGACGAATCTGACTTTCAAAAGTAATCATACGGAAAACTGGGGTGGAATATCGAAGTACTATTTTAAATACAAGTATAAGCAATAATTGTATATAACACCGATAGGAAAAATAAGAACCATTTTTCCAGAAATCTAGTATAGTGGCGCCCATACAGTACATTTTAAGTATTTAAATTTAAAAACTAAGACATGAATTTTTATTAAACCATCTCTAGCACAAAAATGAAAACCACAATAAATGCTTACTTATTCCAGTTTTATTCATAAAATATTTCTTTTTAATACATTTTGCTTAAAATTATTCAGAATGCAAAATAATTATTTGAAAATACAAATACTTTGAATGACAAATACATAAACTTATTTTATTACATTTACATTATATTATATTATGAAAATTAATTCAATATTTTTAACAACTAAATTTGTTCAAAAATTTAACTGGTTCCTTGTTATATTTTTTTTTTTTTTTGATTTTTTAAATGTTGTTCGTTAGTAATAAGAAATTTGGTTTAAACGTTTTCGTTTCAATAAATGAAACTTCATAACTACAAAATTAAATTTTTTAATATGTATGTTTTATGTATGGGTGTTGTTATATTATTTACCTAACAGTATAATGTTAAAATAATGACTGTCTGCCTTTTGTATTGTCTAAACTATGCAAAAACAATTATAGCAGATTTTACGGTTGGGCTTCCTTTACTCGAACAGTTTAACATAAAATTTGTTTTTAAAAGCATATAGCATAAAAAATAATAGTGATCAAAAAATAAAGTGAAATTGACTATTAAAATCACTTATGCCAATTTCTAATTAGTCCGTTGTTTCCGGGTCTTGCATAGATCTAAGTCTCATTTCAAGTTATCAAACTTTGATTTCTTTGACGTGTAATCAGTTAATGTTGATTGAAGACATCGTCCAGGGCGATTTTTGTCTCTTTTAAGTGTTGATATTAATTGCAAGCATATTTTGTGACATAGGTAGCTTTGTCAGTAAAACAACTTTTTTGCGCCACAAAATCTGAATTAAGTTTTTATTGTTTACAAAACATATGCGTAACTAATGAACAAATAGAAATATTGACATGAAATTTGACACAGATGTCAATAACACTACTACCAATCTAAATCTGGTTGGCAGAACTAGAAACCCGCTTATTTTAAATAAAAAATTTCACATTATTTTTTGATATCGGTAGTATAGTCCATACAGCAGTCATTGCTGGTGGGAAAATTGTTATATATTCTTTTTAAAAACAAACTAGTTCTAAAAAAATGTGTGTAATTAAAATTTAAAATTTAATTTTTTTCATATTTATTAAAAATTATTGTATATTTGTAAGTCAAAATGTTGTATGAAATTTGGACTTGAAGGTTTTAGAATTGTAATGTAAGAATGTAATATATGAAAAAGTACATAATGTCTGTTTTGGTAAGCAGTTCTTAATAGTATGTTTATTTTATATTTTATAATAATATTTTAAAGTTAAAGTTTACGAAGTTTTAAATTATTTTCTTCTTGATCGTTATTTAAAAACTTCGTCGACCACCATTATTTTCGTGCACACTGAAAAGAAAAAAAATAGACAAACTTTTAAAAAAGTGAACTTTCAATGATGACAAATAAAATACGATATGCAATATTCAAATGAATACAAGTTAAATAAAATAACATACAGTTGATTTTAGCTAATATTATATTATTAATCGACAAACCACTTAGACACACGTAACGTAATGTAATATAAATATATAAATGACCTGATCTTGTATTCAATTGTCGTAATTTTGCCAATGTTAACTTTGAATAGATTTCGTTTAATTGTTAAATTAAGCAGTTATTTGTTATAATGATAGTTGATAGAGAATAAATGAAGACAGCAATACACATTGTAAGAAGACAAGGGATTTATTGTTAACCATAAAACAAAACAACAAAATCACTAGTCTTCCAAACAAAATGTATTAGAAAAAGGTTAAAAACGATGCATTTTATGTGTTGTATCTTAATTTGTTAATATATAATAGCACATCCACGTTCGTATGAAATAATTTTATGCATTTTAAAAACAGTAATTATATTTAAGCCACCTCTAAATTATTTGCACATATTATAATTTGTTTAAATGTATAAATATATATATAGTATTAGTAGCTTTATGATATAATAAATGCAAGTTTAGAATACCATATGTTATAGGTTTAAATGTTTACAATATACTAAAGAGAAAAATGTTTAATATGAAAAAATTGCATACTTTTAGGATTTATTTGACACCAACCTCTGTTGTAATAGATATTGTGCCATTTGTATCTGTTTCGGATTACCAGAAATGGTAATAATGCGGTCGGAAGAACCTGGCAGAGGCTCGTCTATGGTAATATAAGCACCAGATTCATTACGTATACGACGAATGCGACCGCCGCCTTTGCCAATTATAGCACCAGCAAGCTACAAAATAAATTGAATGTTTGATAAATAAACATTTTTTAAATAAATATAATTACAAAAACTTACATCTTTTGGAATGGTAACTTGTGTACTGTTCTTAGGATCATGTCCATTAGGCAAGTTACCACTGTTATTATTAGGTCCATTACCATTTGGTCCATTGCCGAAACCACCGGAGTTACCACCTGAACCGGGTCCCATGCCATTGCCAAGATTATTTGGACCACCAAAATTACCACCTTGATTCATGCCACCGCCGAAACCGCCTTGGTTACCACTACCCATTGGATTTCCACCACCAAAGCCGCCGCCGCCGCTGCCACCACCACCACCGGAATTACCGAAGTTGCCCATGCCGCCACCGCCAGCTTGATTTCCAGGTCCAAAACCACCATTATTACCGAAGTTACCATTATTTGGTCCATTACCACCAAAACCTCCATTATTGCCACCAAAGTTGCCCCCACCAAATCCTCCGCCAAAGTTATTACCACCAAAACCACCTCCACCATTATTACCACCGAAGCCATCATCGTTAGCCCATGGGTTTATAAATGGATTATTATCGCGGCGTCCGCCACTGCGATTGCGATCATTGTAGCCACCACTGCCACCACCGCCGCCGCCGCCACCACCACCGCGGTTACCACCACGTGATTGACGGTTGTTACCACCGCTACCACCACCACCGCCGCCGCCGCTACCACCACTTCCGCCACTTGAACCGTAACCGCCGTATTCATCGGCGTACATACGATCAAAGTTTAAGGGATCATAATTGTGTACAGGTCCTTTAATGGGTGTCTAAGTAAATGTATATTATTTTATAAGTTTAACAATAAGCCATTGATATAACATGACGATATAATTTACCTCTCGTGTCAAAGAAACGACCTCGCGTATTGCCTCGACAACTTGACTTTGTTTTCCAACAGTTTGAACAACACGATCCGTACTTTGAGGAGCAACATTAGAGAAGATTTTTAAGATACGGCAACCAATTTTCTGTAATTATATAAAACGCAAAATTTAAAATTTAATATATAAAATAAATAAAATGGTACGTTTTTTATTTTTTTTTAAATTTGTCGCATTGTTTTTCAAATAAAGAAATGTACAGTGTATGCATAAATTGTTTTTAAGATCATATTTGAATGAGAAATAATTGCTATTAGTTATTAATATGAATAATTTATGTATTTATTAAATTAAAAAATTTATGATTAATTGAAATTATTAGACATCTGGCGAAAGTAACAATAAATTTATTGACATCAACAGGTAAAAATGCTAATAAAAACACTTTTAAAAAAAGACTTCTGATTTGCAGTTGCGTTTGCATTAAACCTTTTGAAAATTTTTTTCTTTCTACTTTTAAATGAAATCAAAAATGCACAGCGTGAGAAACTTTACTGAAAATTAAAATTACCTGAAAACATAGGACCTCGGCAATATTAAATTTCTTTGCTAAAAGTGGTTTACGCAAAAAAAAAGGACTAAGAAATACAGAAAGGGGAAATATCGATGCATAAGGACCACACACAAAGCAGGTTTATGTTTTTGACAGGCAAAATATAAGTAAAGAAAAATAGCTTACGGTATACGTTGATGATATATATAGAAGAAAATATGGCTTTTATGTGTTTGTTTGATATTGTTTTCAATACATATTTTGCTTGTAAGTAAGTATGTAGTCAATAACTGAATCTGATATATACAGAGAATATAGTTTATATATCTATAAACTAGTATATAGAACGGCGAAGTTAAATTTGATTAAGTATGTTTAAAAAGAATTTAAAGGTATATATTGCGCGTATACAAAAAAAGTAGTGCCTACCTACAGGACATGAAATACATTTTTTTTTTTAAATTTAATTTTATTTCAAATATATAGAAAATATTTTGAAGTATATTCAAAAAAAGTGAGACAATTTTTTTTATCAGAATTGGCATTGAAAAGTAAATTTAATATTGAATAATTGTTTGTTTTCACATAACATAAAAAATAAAAACAATTATTTATAATAAAAAAAAATAATTATTAATAAAAAAATAATAATTAATAATGAAAAAATAAATAATTAAGAAATATAATAATAATAAAAAAAAAATTAAATAATTAATAAAAAAAAAAAAATTGAATTAATAATAATAAAAAAAAAAATAAATAATATTAATAAAAAAAAAAAATTAATAATAATTAATCAAAAAAAAAAAATTATATTAATTAATAAAAAAAAATTAAATAAAATTATTAAAAAAAAAAAAAAATTAAATAATAATTAATAAAAAAAAATATTAAATAATAATTAATAATAAAAGGTACTAAATAACAATTAATAAAAAGAAATAGAAAAAAATTAACAATAAAATGACTAATTTTTGTAAAAATTTTAGATGATCATATACCTAAAATATGTGTTAGTAATCTTCGTGGAAACTTGTTTTTTTAATTCCTATTAAGAGGGATGATTAGCACTTGGTCATGTGAAGAAGCGGTCATTCGCTCTTTAATCTATAAAGCTGACTATATTTCACTTCAATTAAATAAATTATTAATGCCAAATTTCAAGATTTTTGATTGAGCAAGTATATTTTTTTGTATAACTTCAAGTAAAAGTAATTATGATAAAATATGTATATAATTAATAATATATAAGTGTTGCATATGTATAAGCATATTATATTCTCTTTCCTAACATTTATATGTATTCCTAAGTATAAGAAATATCTTTAGAAATATATGCATGGATACGTTGCTTTATTGAAGTACTTAATTTTGTGTTATAATGACTTGATAATAAATTCCATTTAATATAAAAATATTTCCGCTAAACATAAGGCAAACAATTGGCTTAAAAATTGAATACTTCACGTGAGACAAATGTCAAAAGTAAAGTAAAAATTTAAGTAAACATCCCAAGGGATAGTTTTTGCATAATGCAGATGGATTCTTATTAATGTATACAACCTCGTATCGATGAGTATCTTAAATTTTAAACATTTTCAAAAACGAGAAATAATACGAATGAACACATCGGAATGTATGTCAACGCTATACGAATTCCTCAAGTACTTAGGTGTACACAAAATTTTAAGCAAACAAACACAACACAACACAAGTCATACAAAAACGTGTGATTAATGATGGGAAAAGGCAAACAAGCGTTAAGGTTAATGCTTTTTAAAACTATGTCAAAAGTTGAGAAGGAAATAAGTACCCTTTAAATATTTTAGAAGGTCATCAAAGGATATCGTGTAAAATGTAAAATATTAATTGTTATAAATAACTGAGAACTTATTTTTAGTAACAAAAATCGTTAATTCAAGCACATTTCTTATGAATTAGTTACATCCTTTCTTTAAGGTTGGCTGTACACAGAAACAACGTGTTATTAGTGGTGACACAGAAAAACCAGCGCAAATGATTGCATCATTTCTAAGTCATAAAATGTCACATTTTATTTGATTATATTTTCGAAACAGAGTATGAAGGCAGGCAAGGCAGGCAGGAAGGAAGGAGTGCTGGGAACGTCGCTTGACCATTAAAAAATATATCAGATCCATAGCAAACAACAAAACAGCAACAAAATAATGACCGAAAATTAAGAGAAATTATAAAAATTAAATCGTGTTGAGTCATATATGTATATCGTCCTTTTGACTTCAGTATTTAAAAGAAAAAAAATTTAAATATATATACTAACATATATTGAATTGTTTTAAATAAATCAAATCACAGTATGCACACTTTTTTAAAGATTATATTAGTAGTACAATATACTTTAAAGCACAATTATTATTATCAACTTATGATGAACCAATTATAATAATTAAAATAATTACTTTCAATATCCGCGTCCATTTGAAACTGTTCTGTACGCGACCAACGTTACCGTTGAACTAGTTAAACACTAAAATTGTGAAACTCTCGATGTTAAAATTATTTAAAAAGTATCTTCGTAAAATACCAACACATACAATACAAATCCTCTCTCAATGCTATTTTCATCGTACGTAAATTCTCAGTTTGAATATTCACAATTCAAGATACCTACAATAAAGGACATGCATGTGTCATCAGGATAAAAGGAATTTTGTGGGAAACATTCTTTACTGGTTGTGTGTAAGTGAGCAACGGAACCGGTATCCTTACTGACACATGCGTAGTTTTTCGTATCTGAGCAAAAGACTCCCGACGACGACGACGATGACGACGACTCCTTTTGTTACTCAACAGAATTTCGAGATTGAAATAGTTCACTTCAACTTGATTATGATTGCATGCTTCACAAAAACAAAAATAACTCTACACATAAATGAATGAAAAGTACATAAAAAATAAATTTTATAATAAAATAAAAAAAAAAAAACTGATTTCATGTAAAAGCAAAATTTTCGGAAAACAGCAGGCGATAGCAACAATGACGGCATTCTTTAAGAAAAGAGAATCACAATAAAAACTAATAGAACTTTTGAGGATAATCGACAGCCATATATTTTTTTTAAATGTAGTAGGTTAAACCTAAAACTTTTATAAAAAACCAAAATAATATATATCTATCTATATATGTATATAAATAACAAACAACATAAGGATAAAAGTTTCACACTAATATATATGAAATCATAGTCACACACTACACTAAAATGTAGTTGCCGTCATCATTTGTTACTATAACTTTATGATATTCACAAAGAACAAGCATATTTAATGCAAAAAAATGTGATAATATAAATGGAATCCTTCAGGCATGGCCAATACACTTTTAAACTGTTCTTCATGGATTCATCTACTCTATTATATGTACAACATTGTGCGTTCGGTCAAAGAAATGCGAAGAGCGAAACAAACACGCACGCACACACACATCTCATATGGATATAAAATCATGCACAAACCAACTAACAGTATCCTCTTAGGACACAAACAAGCACAACACATAAAAAGGACATTCGAATGCGTATGCTATTTTAAGTATAAGTAAGCTGCTTTCAGAAAAAAGTTAATCATTTAATAAGGCTTTTTCGTATGTTAAACTGAAGCACTCAGGTACTGGTAGTTGATTTTCAATTACAACGTTTTTAATTTATTAATCTCCATAAATGTTTCGATTAAAAGATTTTTACTAATTAAAAGATAAAACTATATCATTTAATTATTATATAAATCATTTTATTAATTTACTTAAATGTTTAAATTAAAGAGATTACTGTATATCAAAGATATCAGTAAATAATTGCATTTTTTTCTTTTATATATTAATATTTTCATTATATGATGATGGGTATTTGGCAATACTCGAAACAGCTGTGTGTGGGTCAACCAAAAATTCAATTAATTAATATAAAATAAATTTTTGTTGTTGTAGTTCACTACTGTTCGAAAAACCTCTTTATTTACATTATATTAATGTAGCATATGTAAGTCTACTTTTGGCATTTATATTGAATATATAAATAAATGTAAACATAAATGTTTTTAGTTGAGTTTATTATGATTTCCTAGGTGTTTATTAATAATATAATTCATACATTTTGTAAAAACATAAAATTAACTGAAATTATTAAAGTAGTTGCTTTCAGAATATATGGTTGGATTTTAGTATAGTTTAATAAGCACCTTTATATAAAAAAATAATATAAAATATAAAAAAAAATATGAAAATATAATTGGAATATAAAAAATTGTATCTACAAAACTGATAATTTACCTAAATCGTTAAAAAAAAAACGCGTATCAACGAAAAATTGTTAGATTCCTAATAATCGACGCGAATGTCTTGAAATGAAATAGTTTATGAATTATTGTTGTTCTTTGTTGCTACTTGCCAGCACTTTTTCTGCATATTAGACAGCAATTAAAGCAGGGTTTGAATTGCTGTTGCTAATTGCATTGCTTGCATAATTGCTAACGCATTGCATATGAAAATGAAATAAAAATATGCATTAGCAACAGCAAAAAACGAAAACTGGTTTCATTTTGATTGCTTGCTAATAGT